TGTGCACTCTGTGCTGGTGCAGAATGGGAGGTGAAGCAGGGCTGTCTGTGTTGGGGTGTGTGCCCTATAGGCTGTGCCCCTGTGTGTGTTGGGGTGTGTGCCCACAGGCTGTTTGGGGTGTGTGCCCTATAGGCTGTGCCCCTGTGTGTGTTGGGGTGTGTGCCCTAAAGGCTGTGCCCCTGTGTGCGTTGGGGTGTGTGCCCACAGGCTGTTTGGGGTGTGTGCCCTATAGGCTGTGCCCCTGACATGCTCCAGTTCCATGGGGCAGGAATTGTCCAGCAGCTGTGTTTGGAAATGCTGGACTTTCACACTTGTGCTTGCTCTGCTTTAATACAGTTTCAATAGTTTGTATTTCTGTTTTTCCAAAGCCAGCAGTTCCCCCTGGTTTTTGCACCATGATGAAGGGGTGTTCCCGTTTCCACTCAGGGTTTCCAGGATGATTTGAGGGTTCATTGTATTATCCTCCTTAAGGGCTAAAGGAGGGAGAATGGGAAAGTGATCAGCTGGGGAGGAATTGCATTTTCATAACCAAATGTTACTCGTAACTCCCACAGGGATCCCATTTTGTCTCTGTGCAGATTGGAATGCTSTATAGGTGATACCGAGGAAAGGTGACACATCATTAACAAAAAGTGCTGACAGCACTGCAGAGAGATTGTGTACTCATGGCACCAGCTTTATTTTGTTTTGTCTATTTATCTCCAAAAGAAAACTCATGGAAAAGCATGCATCTGTCTTACACTCTTCAGAATTAGTCTGTTCTTCATTTCCCACTCAAAACTGATTCTGCAAATTCACAGTGACCAGCTGTAAGAGCACACATAAGCAAGATTGCTGTGTCAGAKGAGGTATTAAATAAAAGGATTTTCTGTCTTGGTGCAAGCCTTCACTGAAATAGGRAAAAGAAAGAATATTTTAAAACATAATGTTTGCTATTCGGATTTCAAGATTTTCCTTTGGTTGTTGATCTGACTTTCCATTTAAGGTTGGAAATGTGTTTATTACAGTACAGAGATAATGAGGTTTAATTGCAGTGCTGGTCATGGCTTCAGGAATGCAAACGGGTACAAGTAWAAAGTCACCTTGAAAACTGAGCAGTTACAGGAAGATAGTGCTATATATAAAAATATGGATTAAAGTAGGTGCCCTTCTCCAAAGCATGGAAAGAATGAGAGAAATCACAGCTCCAGTGTGGCACTCCATCACGTTTCCTTGGGAAGATGGGATGCTCTGGGGCCTCCAGGATCAGAGAACTCAGGCTGAACTTGATTTCTGTGTTGGTGCTGATGGCTGTTGATACAGAAGTGCTGAGGAGTCCTTGGTGCAGACAGGGTCCCTYTGTAAAGGCACTGGGACTCAGGGGCAGTGTTTGTGTCACTCAGGGGCTCACTGGGAACTGGAGCATCCTTTGCTGTGCGAAGCTCACAGCTCAGCTCTGCCTCCACCCCCTCTGCTCTGAATGTGGAAAATCTGTGTGCAAAAACAGACCCAGAACTTGGGGATAGTCAGACATTTCACTGATTGCTGTGCTTTTATTCCTCCTCAGGCAGAGGATGAACCTGCCATGTATGTATGAACAATGCAAACACATGCTGATGGTGGCCCGAGAGCTCTCCCGCCTCCAGGTCTCCTACGAGGAGTATCTCTGCATGAAGACATTGCTTCTCCTCTCTACAAGTAGGTGAACGGCTCAATATCAACCTTCTTGCATTTACATCTGCAGAAGTGTGGGGTGGATTTGCAGTAGATATTGTGAGATAGATTTATACAATACGCTACGTGCTGGTTTTATCTTTAGGTAGGATATGCTGCTGTTAAACTAAATCAGAGTTTAGTAAATTGTGTCTGTACTGCATGAAAGTTCAAAGTGCAGTATCAAAAATGGTCCTTTTAGAATATACAGAAAGAAACTAATCTGAGACAAGGTAACTAATGTAAGTGATTGTGTGCAAGTATTGCAGTGTTGTTTTTCCCTTCTGTTGATATCACTGGTTGCTAGCAACTTTGTTCTGCCTGTGCTCCCTGAGGATCTGAGCTCAGCCCGGGCTCGGCTGCAATCCAGGGACTCACAGAGCAAAGGGGAGGGTGTGTGGGGTGTGTGAAGTGTGTGTGGGGTGTGTGGGGTGTGCCAGGGAGGGTGTGAGCCAGGCCACTTGCTCCGGAGAGCCTTTTGCCCTGGGAAATCCCATCCCATCCCGTCCCATCCCATGGTGACAGCGATGCCAAAGGAACTGATCCCAAGGGAGCTGATCTTGGGGGAGCTGATCTTAGGGGAGCCACCTCGGGCAGGGCCTGACGTGCCCCGCTCCTGCCTGGCACTGTGGTTTGGTTCAGGGCAGTGMCAGAGGTGCCAACATGAACAGAAGCAGCAGAGCCAGGGAAGATTTGTCAGTGTGGTGCCCTGGTGATGCTGCACCATCCTCATCAGGTGGTTTGGCTCAGAAGGGACCTGAAACGTGATGAAAAGTAAATATTATTAAGTTCATTACACTGAGGGTGTAAACATTCCTTATCTTTAATGCTTSCAGTGAATAATAGCATTGATTCTTACAAAGGAATGAGAAGATTTTCACCTTGGGCTTTTCCCCGATAGGAGCAGGAGGAATGGGAGCCCGTGTCGGGGCAGGGGTGATGGGTGTGGGCAGGGCTGTAGGGGCATGSTGGTGCCATGGCCAGTTCCCCCAGTGCCCAGTGTCCCACCAGCCTGGCAGTGCCCGGCTCTGCCTCGCTGCCAAGCCCAGAACTGGGACAAGGGCTCTTTTCAGAGGGAACTTTCAGCCTCTCGCGGCCGTGGGCTTTGTAGGAACTCAAAACTTCCCTGAAACTGCAGATTTCAAACAGTTCCTATTTGATTCTGAAATCTCTCCCAAAAATTCCTCAAGTGTTTTGGGTGTGGTGTAGGCCAGCTTTCCTTACGGGAGCTGGAAATTTCCACGGAGGAGTTTCCATGGCAGGAGTGAGGAGGCAGCGCTGGCACAACTCTGGGCTGGGCAGAGCTGGCACTGCCCGAGGGGCTGTCCCCTGCCTGCCCATGGGGGACAATTGATTGTCACTYGCTGAAGGACAATTGTGAGTGTGCTGCATGGTGGAGCTGCTGCCAATTGAATAGCTGGGGTTTCTGTAGCTCTGCAATCCACAATTGCATTTGTGTATTGTGTTTCTGTGTGAGCYTTTCCAAGAGAAGAGGAGGAGGAGWAAGGCAGGAATCCCAACGGGTCTGGGCATGTAGCTCACACACTGCCAYAGCTCAGAGACCTTTTCCACATGAGGAACTGAAGCAGTTGATGAGTTGCATCTCCTGTGCAGTCAGGGCAGATGAGAGCCCTCGCTGCAGAATCTCTCAGATGCTGACAGGGCTGGGAAGGATGGATTTC